GCTTCATCACCAAGACAGTCTTGGAGCAGGAGGGTGACCGTCGGCTCAACAAATACCGACAACCAACATACACCGAGACCGTCTAATACCCTATGTCTAAGGTGATGTCTAATAAATACACAGAGAGACCAGACTGACCATATCACCGAAATACACCCAGAGACCAGACTCACCCTCCAATATCACCGAAATACACCGAGAGACCAGACTGACCATATCACCGAAATACACCCAGAGACCAGACTCACCCTCCAATATCACCGAAATACACCGAGAGACCAGACTGACCATATCACCGAAATACACCCAGAGACCAGACTCACCCTCCAATATCACCGAAATACACCGAGAGACCAGACTGACCATATCACCGAAATACACCCAGAGACCAGACTCACCCTCCAATATCACCGAAATACACCGAGAGACCAGACTGACCATATCACCGAAATACACCCAGAGACCACACAGACCCTCCAATATCACCGAAATACACCGAGAGACCAGACAGACCCTCCAATATCACCGAAATACACAGAGAGGCCAGACAGACCCTCCAATACCACCGAAATACACCGAGAGACCAGACTGACCCTCCAATATCACCGAAATACACCGAGAGACCAGACTGGCCCTCAAATATCACCGAAATACACAGAGAGACCGGACTGACCCTCCAATATCCCCGAAATACACCGAGAGACCAGACTGGCCCTCAAATATCACCGAAATACACAGAGAGACCGGATTGACCCTCCAATATCACCGAAATACACCGAGAGACCACACAGACCGTCCAATATCACCGAAATACACCGAGAGACCAGACTGACCCTCCAATATCACCGAAATACACCGAGAGACCGGACTGACCCTCCAATATCCCAGAAATACACCGAGAGACCACACAGACCGTCCAATATCACCGAAATACACCGAGAGACCAGACTGACCCTCCAATATCACCGAAATACACAGAGAGACCACACAGACCCTCCAATATCACCGAAATACACCGTGGGACCAGACTGACCATCCAATATCACCGAAATACACCGAGAGACCACACAGACCCTCCAATATCACCGAAATACACCGAGAGACCAGACTGACCGTCCAATATCACCGAAATACACCGGGAGACCAGACAGACCCTCCAATATCACCGAAATACACCCAGAGACCAGACAGACCATATCACCGAAATACACCGAGAGACCAGACTGACCCTCCAATATCACCGAAATACACCGAGAGACCGGACTGGCCCTCCAATATCACCGAAATACACAGAGAGACCAGACTGACAATATCCCCGAAATACACCGAGAGACCAGACTGACCTCCAATATCACTGAAATACACAGAGAGACCACACAGACCCTCCAATATCACCGAAATACACCGAGAGACCAGACTGACCCTCCAATATCCCCGAAATACACAGAGAGACCAGACTGACCGTCCAATATCACCGAAATACACCAAGAGACCAGACAGGCCATATAACCGAAATACACCGAGAGACCAGACAGACCCTCCAATATCACCGAAATACAACGAGAGACCGGACTGGCCCTCCAATATCACCGAAATACACAGAGAGACCAGACAGACCGTCCTATATCACCGAGAGACCAGACTGACCGTCCAATATCACCAAAATACACAGAGAGACCAGACTGACCGTCCAATATCACCGAAATACACCGAGAGACCAGACAGACCGTCCTATATCACAGAGAGACCAGACTGACCGTCCAATATCACCGAAATACACCGAGAGACCAGACAGACCCTCCAATATCACCGAAATACACCGAGAGACCAGACAGACCCTCCAATATCACCGAAATACACCGAGAGACCAGACAGACCCTCCAATATCACCGAAATACACCGAGAGACCAGACAGACCCTCCAATATCACCGAAATACACCGAGAGACCAGACAGACCCTCCAATATCACCGAAATACACAGAGAGACCAGACAGACCCTCCAATATCACCGAAATACACCGAGAGGCCAGACAGACCCTCCAATATCACCGAAATACACCGAGAGACCAGACTGACCACCCAATATCCCCGAAATACACCGAGAGACCAGACAGACCCTCCAATATCACCGAAATACACCGAGAGACCAGACAGACCCTCCAATATCACCGAAATACACCGAGAGACCAGACTGACCCTCCAATATCCCCGAAATACACAGAGAGACCAGACTGACCGTCCAATATCACCGAAATACACCAAGAGACCAGACAGGCCATATAACCGAAATACACCGAGAGACCAGACAGACCCTCCAATATCACCGAAATACAACGAGAGACCGGACTGGCCCTCCAATATCACCGAAATACACAGAGAGACCAGACAGACCGTCCTATATCACCGAGAGACCAGACTGACCGTCCAATATCACCAAAATACACAGAGAGACCAGACTGACCGTCCAATATCACCGAAATACACCGAGAGACCAGACAGACCGTCCTATATCACAGAGAGACCAGACTGACCGTCCAATATCACCGAAATACACCGAGAGGCCAGACAGACCGTCCTATATTACTGAGAGACCAGACAGACCCTCCAATATCACCGAAATACACCGAGAGACCAGACAGACCCTCCAATATCACCGAAATACACCGAGAGACCAGACAGACCCTCCAATATCACCGAAATACACAGAGAGACCAGACTGACCCTCCAATATCACCGAAATACACCGAGAGACTAGACTGACCCTCCAATATCACCGAAATACACCGAGAGACCAGACTGGCCCTCCAATATCACCGAAATACACCGAGAGACCAGACTGGCCCTCCAATCTCTCCGACATTCGGGAATAATCTCACCTGTTCCAGAAGACATCACCCGAAATCTTGTGCATCTCGCCCAGCGTTGCCAACAGGAGTGATGACTTCCCACATCCGACCTGCCCGACAATCATGGTCAGCTGACCTGCGGGGGAGGGAACGCCATCAATATAACATATATACAGATTGTACTTCTTATACCTGGCGGAGGTCTCAGGTCTGTGAGCGGGATTAAGTCGGAGCTCCGCATTCAGGTTACCTCACCCTCCCCCCCCGCAGCTCCGCCTGTACTTTGTACTCCGCTCCTGTATATGTCAGCCTCAGATTTGTATTGCGGAGGGGGGTGCCGCTCACAGGAAGCTCGGAAGATTCACCTTGGGGAATCCGGATGTCAATGTTGGATAAAGTCGGAGATCCGTCTGGAGTCCAAGTAAAAAATCCATTGGTGATCTGGAAGAGACGAGAGAATTCGGTGACAACGACCCGCAGGTGACAACCAATCTGACCAATCAGGACATTTCTAGGGTGACACCACCATACAACGGGCGTCCTGGCAACCAACAAGGACCGGGAACCCAACACTATGACATCTAACAGAAGAGAGGAAACACAAAGAAATCCTCCATCAGGAGACTCGTCTCCAGAACCATGCCCAGTATAGAACCCATATGGGTCCAGTATAGAACCAGTACAAATTCAGTATAGATCCACTACAAGCTCTGTATAGAAGTAATACAGGCCCAATATAGAACCAGTATAGGCCCAATATAGGCCCAGTATAGAACTGGTATAGAACCAGTATAGGCCCTGTATAGAACCAGTATAGGCCCAGTATAGAAGTGGTACAGGTCTAGTATAGAACCAGTACAAGTCTTGTATAGAACCAGTACAGACCCAGTATAGAAGTGGTACAGGTCTAGTATTGAACCAGTACAGGTCCAGTATAGAACCAGTATAGGTCTTGTATAGAACCAGAACAGGCCCAGTAAAGAACCTGTATAGGTCTTGTATAGAACCAGTACAAGTCTTGTATAGAACCAGTATAGGTCGTGTATAGAACCAGTATAGGTCGTGTATAGAACCAGTATAGGTCTTGTATAGAACCAGTACAGGCCCCGTATAGAACCAGTACAGGTCCAGTATAGAACCAGTATAGGTCTTGTATAGAACCAGTACAGGCCCAGTATAGAACCAGTATAGGTCTTGTATAGGACCAGTACAAGTCTTGTATAGAACCAGTACAGGCCCCGTATAGAACCAGTATAGGTCTTATATAGAACCAGTACAGGCCCCGTATAGAACCAGTACAAGTCTTGTATAGAACCAGAACAGGCCCAGTATAGAACCAGTACATGTCCAGTATAGAACTGGTATAGAATCGGTACAGGTGCAGTATAGAACCAGTACAAGACCCATATAGAACCAGTACAAACCCAGTATAGAACTGGTATAGGTCCTGTATAGAAGTGATACAGGTCTAGTATAGGTCTTGTATAGAACCAGTACAAGTCTTGTATAGAACCAGTACAGGCCCAGTATAGAACCAGTACAAGTCTTGTATAGAACCAGTACAAGCCCTGTATAGCGTATGACCCCAGAATGACCCAAAGACCCGATATGTAGAGTGTACCCCCATTCAGGTGTGAGCGCCGTCCGTCCCTGTTATAGAATTATCGGTCTGAGTTCCTCTAGTAATGTCTGAATACAGATTGATCTGCTGGTCACATTGGTGTGTGTATGGATACATTGGCCGTGTGGGGGGATTAGCGGGGGTGGGGTATAATAATAGAGGAAAGGGGGGGAGGGGAGCGGGGTGTCACACACTGGGGGCCCCTCGGTGTCACCTTTATACAGAACTCGTTTTCCTCTGGGTTGTCGGCGCCTCCTCTCTGCTGGCAGGTGAACGCGCTCCAGTCTTCTCGGATTGGCCGTTTACGGTTTACAACTTTGAGTGGCTGCGGCGGAGCGGGGAGACAGAGACAAGGTGAGTGCGGCACACGGGGGGGGCGTGCGGAGGTGACAGCCATGAGTGACATGACACCACGGTGACAACACACTTACCACGGCCTGGTACTTGTGGGGTCCCCTCTTCCGGTACGGCACAGATTTATCCGTTTCCTCTCCGATCTCCTCGCTGGAGAAAAACTCGCCGAGCTTCTGGACGCTGCGAGATGGAAATACGACCAAAACCATCAAATCTGAGAAATGGAGGCGACGAGATTCCCAACCCCGCCAGAATAACAAACCGAGCAACAGAATCCTAAACGGGTCAACCACCTTCAGATCAGAAGTCCATGAGAATACCTACATGTCTGTCATTTGCATGTCTCCGCCCACTATCATCACATGGCACAGATCATGTGTTATATTCAGGATTAGGAAGGCTTCGGCTTTTTTATTTCATATTGTATAAGAGGAGAATAAAATCATCCGGATTACTGCAGGATCTCAGATTACACTCAGCACAATGACTCTGAGGGGGAGGGGGATCCGCCTCTCCTGTCACAGCTACAGCAGAGCTAGTGCTGGGCTTTCTTCTCACTGTGCACACACTGTACAATGGAAGTTCCCCGCATTACATGATGACACGATGATGATTTCCTATGTCAGGGAAGAAGAAGCGTCGTTTGTTTCCTCCTCCTGACTGATATCACAATACTGGACCTTCCATGACAATCCTCCATGCAGCATATCGAGGAACGGTCATCCAATCATGTGGGATGGGGGATGGCTCCATATTAATGGGGAGGGGTGTGGCTCCATATTAATGGCCATGGCATGGGGAGGGGGGTGGCTCCATATTAGTGGCCATGGGATGGGAATGGGGAGGGGGGTGGCTCCATATTAATGGCCATGGCATGGGGAGGGGGGTGGCTCCATATTAATGGCCATGGCATGGGGAGGGGGTGGCTCCGTATTGGCCATGGTTCTGGGATGGGGAGGGGGTGGCTCCGTATTGGCCATGGTTCTGGGATGGGGAGGGGGTGGCTCCGTATTGGCCATGGTTCTGGGATGGGGAGGGGGTGGCTCCGTATTGGCCATGGTTCTGGGATGGGGAGGGGGTGGCTCCGTATTGGCCATGGTTCTGGGATGGGGAGGGGGTGGCTCCGTATTGGCCATGGTTCTGGGATGGGGAGGGGGTGGCTCCGTATTGGCCATGGTTCTGGGATGGGGAGGGGGTGGCTCCGTATTGGCCATGGTTCTGGGATGGGGAGGGGGTGGCTCCGTATTGGCCATGGTTCTGGGATGGGGAGGGGGTGGCTCCGTATTGGCCATGGTTCTGGGATGGGGAGGGGGTGGCTCCGTATTGGCCATGGTTCTGGGATGGGGAGGGGGTGGCTCCGTATTGGCCATGGTTCTGGGATGGGGAGGGGGTGGCTCCGTATTGGCCATGGTTCTGGGATGGGGAGGGGGTGGCTCCGTATTGGCCATGGTTCTGGGATGGGGAGGGGGTGGCTCCGTATTGGCCATGGTTCTGGGATGGGGAGGGGGTGGCTCCGTATTGGCCATGGTTCTGGGATGGGGAGGGGGTGGCTCCGTATTGGCCATGGTTCTGGGATGGGGAGGGGGTGGCTCCGTATTGGCCATGGTTCTGGGATGGGGAGGGGGTGGCTCCGTATTGGCCATGGTTCTGGGATGGGGAGGGGGTGGCTCCGTATTGGCCATGGTTCTGGGATGGGGAGGGGGTGGCTCCGTATTGGCCATGGTTCTGGGATGGGGAGGGGGTGGCTCCGTATTGGCCATGGTTCTGGGATGGGGAGGGGGTGGCTCCGTATTGGCCATGGTTCTGGGATGGGGAGGGGGTGGCTCCGTATTGGCCATGGTTCTGGGATGGGGAGGGGGTGGCTCCGTATTGGCCATGGTTCTGGGATGGGGAGGGGGTGGCTCCGTATTGGCCATGGTTCTGGGATGGGGAGGGGGTGGCTCCGTATTGGCCATGGTTCTGGGATGGGGAGGGGGTGGCTCCGTATTGGCCATGGTTCTGGGATGGGGAGGGGGTGGCTCCGTATTGGCCATGGTTCTGGGATGGGGAGGGGGTGGCTCCGTATTGGCCATGGTTCTGGGATGGGGAGGGGGTGGCTCCGTATTGGCCATGGTTCTGGGATGGGGAGGGGGTGGCTCCGTATTGGCCATGGTTCTGGGAGGGGGTGGCTCCGTATTGGCCATGGTTCTGGGATGGGGTGGCTCCGTATTGGTCATGGTTTTGGGATGGGCAGGGGGTGATGGTCGGGGGTCCACAGACCTCTGGCCAGTCTCAGTGAATGGGGGACAGAGATGATGGGAGGTCCAGCAGTGAATGATGACATCACGCCATGGATCGGCTGTATCACATCTCTTATCGGTTTCCTATGAAGGGCGTCTGTTGGGAACGGGTCGGGTGCGCTGTGTCATGTCTGCGATCCGCGGGAATCTGAAGAGGATTTTGGCAGCTGCCGGATAATCATCATAATTCCCACTAAATCCAATTATATGATTAGCTGCGGCGAGTTCCTCAGCGGGGAGCAATTATCTGATCATCGAGAGGCTGGAGATTCATTACTGCCAAATGGAATTACAGGACGAGCGGCGTGACCTCATGTGGCAGAGCGGCTGCCGGCGTCACTCCATATACATCTGCGCCGCGCCACCATCCCGTCCATACACTGAAGAGTGTGGCCTGCTGTGGTACATACTATGTCCCATTACTACCGCATGAGATCGGGCTTCTGCACCTACTTTTACCATAGGAACTCCTTTCCTTTCATGAGGTCAGAGATGGAAGAGATGAGACCCGGGGTAGGGGATGAGATGATAGATAGGGGATGGGACCAGGGGTAAGAGATGAGACCCGGGGTAGGAGATGAGACCCGGGGTAGGAGATGAGATCAGAGGTAGGAGATGGGACCCGGGGTAGGAGATGAGATCAGAGGTAGGAGATGGGACCCGAGGTAGGAGATGGGACCCGGGGTAGGAGATGGGACCCGGGGTAAGAGACGGGACCTGGGATAAGAGATGGGATCCGGGGTAGGAGATGAGACCTGGGGTAAGAGATGGGACCCGGGGTAGGAGATGGGCCCTGGGGTAGGAGATGGGACCCGGGGTAGGAGATGAGATGAGGGGTAGGAGATGGGACCCGGGGTAAGAGATGGGACCCGGGGTAAGAGATGAGACCCGGGGTAGGAGATGAGATGAGAGGTAGGGGATGGGACCAGGGGTAAGAGATGAGACCCGGGTTAGGGGATGGGACCCCGGGGTAGGAGATGAGAGGTAAGAGATGAGACCCCGGGGGTAAGAGATGGGACCCGGGGTAGGAGATGAGATCAGAGGTAGGGGATGGGACCCGGGGTAGGAGATGGGCCCTGGGGTAGGAGATGGGACCAGGGGTAGGAGATGAGCTGAGAGGTAAGAGATGAGACCCGGGGTAGGAGATGAGATCAGAGGTAGGAGATGGGACCTGGGGTAGGAGATGAGATGAGAGGTAAGAGATGAGACCCGGGGTAGGAGATGGGACCCGGGGTAGGAGATGAGATCAGATGTAGGAGATGGGACCCGGGGTAGGAGATGAGATCAGAGGTAGGAGATGGGACCCGGGGTAGGAGATGAGACCCGGGGTAAGAGATGAGACCCAGGGTAGGAGATGAGATGATAGGTAGGGGATGGGACCAGGGGTAAGAGATGAGACCCGGGTTAGGGGATGGGACCCCCGGGGTAGGAGATGAGAGGTAAGAGATGAGACCCCGGGGGTAAGAGATGGGACCCGGGGTAGGAGATGAGATCAGAGGTAGGGGATGGGACCCGGGGTAGGAGATGGGCCCTGGGGTAAGAGATGGGCCCTGGGGTAAGAGATGGGACCCGGGGTAAGAGATGAGACCCGGGGTAAGAGATGGGACCCGGGGTAGGAGATGGGACCCGGGGTAGGAGATGAGACCTGGGGTAAGAGATGGGACCCGGGGTAGGAGATGGGCCCTGGGGTAAGAAATGGGACCCGGGGTAGGAGATGAGATGACGGGTAGGAGATGGGACCCGGGGTAAGAGATGGCACCCGGGGTAAGAGATGAGACCCGGGGTAAGAGATGGGACCCGGGGTAGGAGATGGGACCCGGGGTAGGAGATGGGACCCGGGGTAAGAGATGAGACCCGGGGTAGGAGATGAGATGAGAGGTAAGAGATGGGACCCGGGGTAGGAGATGGGATCCGGGGTAGGAGATGAGA